ACCTCTGCTGACAGCAGATAAATAACTGACAGTATTTTAGCGGAGTTGCTAGGTTCTCCGCAGAGTAATTTGTTTTCTCCTTTCTCACCGAGTCTTTAATGTTTTGTTATAAACATCTATAGCCAGACGCTGCTAATAGAAATGACTTATGGCTAAGGATCCGGAGAAAAGGCTGCGACGGGTTTTCGAGCTGCTTTCTTGGAAGGGCTTATGCCAAGGACTTCCTCTTCCCTTTGTGCAAATGGGCTTTGCTGGAAACAAGAGAGCAAAATCATAGAATCACAGAATGGTTTGCGTTGGAAGGGCCCTTAAAGATCATCCAGTTCCAACACCCTGCCATGGGCAGGGACACCTCCCACCAGCCCAGGTTGCTCAAAGCCTCATCCAGCCTGGCCTTGAACACCTCCAGGGATGGGGCACCCACAGCTCCCAGCATACAGAATTCTGGTGATTGATGGAGAAAGCCCCTGGGGTGGGTCAGAACTTCCTGCTGTCCCACGGGTTTTCATTGCAAGGTGATGAAATACTTTGTTTGGTGAAGGATGAGTGCGTTGGGATGGCATTGACCGATGTGGCACAGTCCTGCTCTCCCCCCAAAAATTAACCCAGTGGCATTTATATTTTGACATTCTTCCTTCTCACTGTCCCATAACAAGGCCGTAGACTTTCGCCAAAGCCATTTTGGCTGTAATTGGGTGTTCCTTGGCTCTTTTTGCATGCAAGCATGACGGTGGATGTGTGAAGCTGCAAACTTGCTGCACCCCCAACCATGGTCACATCATCCAGGTGACACATACATAATTTTATTACAAGATTGGAGGCTCTTGACTTCTCTCTTCCATGGAGAAGACATGCAGTGCTTCTTTTAACTCCAGGCGTTCACTCGGGGTGTATTTCTTTTTCCCCTGTGCACGCTGTATCGTCTCAGCAGTTAAAGACTTGATAAGAGAAAGTTGTCAGAAATCAATTCTTCTTCCCCTAATTGTATGGGCATGATAAAAGATCGCGCGGGAATCTGCAAGAATTTACACACACGTGCAAACAAATAGCTGCTATCAATTCACGTGGAAGATCAGATAAGCCCGTTATCTTGTGTCTCTCTGTACCGGTGTGTGACAAGAACATGGGGAAGGACGTGGGGCAGGAGATAAGAGAGCGGGAAGAATAGTGGTGGAAGTCATGATGAGGAGATTCAGAAAAAAAAAAAAAATTGTAAAAATTATCTGAAGGTTTCTGGTCTAACGGAAAATGTTGTGTGTGGAGATAGTGCTGTGCCCAGTTTTGCCTGTTTTTAATGTAGAGTATCAAAAAGTCAAAGAGCTGAAGAA